CTCCTGGATCACCAAATCCACACATTTCAGGCACGGCTCCTTCAGCTTCACCAGCTGCTTCTTGACGATGGCCTCGAACGCCAGGTCCGGAGTGAACAGCCCCGTCCTGAGCGGGAACAGCCGGAAAACAGTCGGAAAACGGCGGGAAACAGTCAGAAACAGCCAGAAAACGGCAGGAACAGCCGGAAACAGTCATAAAATGGCAGGAAACAGCCAGAAACAGTTGGAAAATGGCAGGAAACAGTCGGAAACAGCCGGAAAACAGTCGGAAAACAGTCAGAAAACGGCGGGAAACAGTCGGAAAACGGCGGGAAACAGTCGGAAAACTGCAGGAAACAGCCAGAAACAGCCGGAAACAGTCAGAAAACGGCGGGAAAGTCGGAAAATGGCGGGAAACAGCCAGAAACAGTCGGAAAACGGTGGGAAACAGCCAGAAACACTTGGAAAACTGCGGGAAACTGTTGGAAAACGGCGGGAAACAGTCAGAAACAGCTGGAAAACAGCCGGGAAACAGTCGGAAACAGCCGGAAACAGTCAGAAAACGGCGGGAAACAGTCAGAAAGCGGTGGGAAACAGCCGGAAACAGTCAGAAACAGCCGGGAAACAGTCGGGAAACAGCGGGAAACAGCCAGAAACAGTCAGAAAACGGCGGGAAACAGTCGGAATATGGCGGGAAACAGCCGGAAACAGTCAGAAAACGGCGGGAAACAACCGGAAACAGTCGGGAAACGGAAGGAAACAACCGGAAACAGTCGGAAAATGGCAGGAAACAGTCAGAAACAACAGGAAACAGTCAGAAAACGGCAGGAAACAGTCAGCAACAACTGGAAACAGTCGGAAAATGGCAGGAAACAGTCAGAAACAACAGGAAACAGTCAGAAAACGGCAGGAAACAGTCAGCAACAACTGGAAACAGTCGGAAAATGGCAGGAAACAGTCAGAAACAACAGGAAACAGTCAGAAAACGGCAGGAAACAGTCAGCAACAACTGGAAACAGTCGGAAAATGGCAGGAAACAGTCAGAAACAACAGGAAACAGTCAGAAAACGGCAGGAAACAGTCAGCAACAACTGGAAACAGTCGGAAAATGGCAGGAAACAGTCAGAAACAACAGGAAACAGTCAGAAAACGGCAGGAAACAGTCAGCAACAACTGGAAACAGTCGGAAAATGGCAGGAAACAGTCAGAAACAACAGGAAACAGTCAGAAAACGGCAGGAAACAGTCAGCAACAACTGGAAACAGTCGGAAAATGGCAGGAAACAGTCAGAAACAACAGGAAACAGTCAGAAAACGGCAGGAAACAGTCAGCAACAACTGGAAACAGTCGGAAAACAGATGGAAAACAGATGGAAAATGGCGGGAACAGCCGAAAACCAGCTGGAAAATGGCGGGGAAAATGGCCAGGAAACAGCCCGAAATCAATCGGAAAACAGCCAGGAAACAGTCAGAAAACAGTCGTAAAACAGCCAGGAAACAGCCGGAAAATAGAGGGAAAACGGCGGGAAAACAGCAGGAAACAGTCGGAAACAGCGGGAAACAGTCGGAAAACAGCGGGAAAACAGCGGGGAAATGGCCAGGAAACAGCGGGATCAGAGCCGGGAAACAGCCGGAAATGATCCAGGGATGGATCCAGGGGAGAATTCCCGGGAATGCCGGGCAGGGATGGATCCAGGGATGGATCCAGGGAATTCCCGGGAATGATCCAGGGAAGGATCCGGGGAGGATCTGGGGATGGATCCAGGGA